CCTTCTTTCCCCCCTCCTTCTACCTCCTTCCATCTCCCTCTCTCCCCCCCTTTTCCTTCTCTCTCTCCCCTCTTCTTCTCTGCCTCCCCCTCTCTCCCTCATCCTCACAGCTGGAGTGAAGAACTCCATCTGATACGACACAGCCAGGGACGGCATGTGCTGGGTCTCCAAATTCCCACATTGATGGGAACTGCTCGGGAGGGCAGCCTGACACATAAGAAAATCATAAGTCTGTACTTTATAAAGCCACTAAGACTTGGAAGTTCTGTTACGGTCACCTTGAGCTTAGAAAGTTGGCACCATAGTTTCCTAATTTGTTTTTTTATCATGCTCTTCCAGATTAAATTACTTCCTTGATAGCACCCTATGAACAATGTAATAAAACTCCTCTGACCACGGTAAGTCTTTCTCACCACCACCCGCTCTCTTTCCAGGGAACAAAAGACTATTCTGAGCACTCACGCTCACACTGACATTCACCTAGCACCTGACAAGGGCAGTCGGGCACTGATTCCAGCATTTACACTTACTGTTTATTCATCCTCATGACAACCCCATGAAGAAATTATCACTAGCTTCCTATTTACCGCAGAGGAAACTGAGGCAGAGAGAGGTAAGTATCATCAGGTAGCAGAGCCAAGAATTCCAACTAGAAGCACCCAGCTCTAGAGGCAAGCCCTCCAGGGAGGAACTAGCTCTCCAGGCCAAAAGTAAGTGCTGAACTGGTTTTCAGAAGTCGATGGCTCCATTTAAGAAAATTTGTTGTACCAAGATTTTCTTTTTTAATTACTTTGGAGGATATGTACTATGGCCGCAAAAACTGTCCACATTGCAAAGGGACTTCTCTAGAGTAAAGGCACAACTAAGATTATAATGAGGTACCTTGCAAAGCCTGGCCCACCTAAAGCTATTTGGGAAAAGCACTAGTGCAGACAATGAGTCACACCCCACCACCCCCCAACACCCGCCTGTGTGCTTCATCCCCTCCACATCTGTGAAACGAGAGAACCAGCTGGATTATGCAACACAAGTCACTTGGCCATTTTCACACCTGATGAGAAAAAAGACAAAACAAAAAAACACTTGATCATAGCAAAAGGTCATCCCTGGTCCCTCAAGGTAGGATTTAAATGCTGTGCCCTGTACAGGAAGCTAAACACTTGCAGACTTGGTGCCAAGACAATCTTTTGTTCCACTCTTGAGAGTGTAGTCACCAGCCTCGCCCTGGGTCCCAGCTCCTGACGTCACAGGTTAAACAAGCAGAGACTGCACAACGCTGCACACACAGCTTGCTCTCTCCTGGGACTGTCCCAGCATGGCACATGTGAGTTCTGAGACCAGTGCCCGGTGGCGTAAGGCTCAAAGCGCTTTTAATTTCAGTTCAGTGCCTCATCGAACACAATAACACTTGGATTCACAAATACCATGTAGACCTGTTCACAGGAGTACTTGACAAATCCCAGGTGAAGAGCAAGGGTCAAGTCATATGCCTTAGTCAGCCAAGACAAAAAATCAGTATTAACTTCTGTGCAGAGAGCCAATAACACTAAAAATAATCTAATGTACGTCTAAAGAAAAGGGATCGAGT